AGAAGGATCCTTGCTATGCTATTACTTCATTTCTGTCTTGGTTGAAGCTAGTTAAACCAACATAGCTAAGCATTAAAAAGTGTATTTGTCTTTTTCAGGAGACAAATTTAAGGAATAGCAACCAAGCCCGGTGAGAGAGCTTTGGCGCTCTGAAAATTATGCTTAAGGAAAAGCAGCTTCTTGCTTTGGAAGTTAAGTAGTTGTGTGACATCTGATCCTGCTGTAGGTTTTGCCCTGGAGAGTTCAGTGGCGGGATGTAATTCCCACCTGAATTGTTCCGTCTCTTAAGGCAGCATTCCTCTGCCTCACTGCAGATGGACACTGCTGCTGCACACTCCTCTTTGGGAGCAAATAATGCCAGAGTGCTTTCAGTCTTGGTGGAAATCGCATCAGTGCAGTCAGGGGAGAGTTAGATGAATCACCGCATGCTTAGCCCTTAGTCATAGCGTTCTTGGAAATGAAGTGGTGATATTCCTGGAAAAATCAATTCCTCCTAAGACACAAAGACAGAGAGGAGAAAGTGTCCAAGAACCATCGATGCCCCTCCTTCGTGCAGGTACATCCTGAAACAGGAACAGACTTTTGATCGGACAAATTACGTCCAGCAGGCCCATTATTTTCTCCCTGTTGAGTGTGAAGAAAGTCTCTGGGGTATAGCTTGGGGCAGATGCTACATTTATGGATGCCACTTCATGTTACTGCCCTGTAAAGTTTAGGAGAGTTTAGAGATTCCCCCTCAAAATTGTCTTAACAGTGTAATTAACCCTTTATAATAGAATCATAGAATGCTTAAGGTTGGAGGGGACCTCCAGAGGTCATCGAGTCCAACCCCCTGCTCACGCAGGGTCACCTAGAGCACGTGGCACCGGGCTGCATCCAAGCGGGTTTTAAAGATCTCCAGAGAAGGAGACTCCACAGCCTCTCTGGGCAGCCTGTTCCAGGGCTCTGTCACCCTCACAATCAAGAAGTGTTTCCTTAAGTTCCTGTGGAACTTTTGGTGCCTCAGCTTGTGGCCGTTTCCTCTAGTCCTGTCGCTGGCCACCACTGAAAAGAGGCCGGCCCCTCCTCCTCACTGCCTCCCTTGAGGTATCTATAGACACTGATCAGGTTCCCCCACAGCCTTCTTTTTCTCAGACTGAACAGGCCCAGCTCTCTCAGCCTTTCTTCATAGGAAAGCCCCTGATCATCTTCGTAGCCCTGTGTTCCACATCGCTCTTGTACTGGGGAGCCCAGAACTGGACACAATATTCCAGATGTGGCCTCACCAGGGCTGTGTAGAGGGGGACAATCATCTCCCTCGACCTGCTGGASACRCTCWTCYTAATGCMCCYCAGGATCCCGTTGGCCTTCTTGGCCACCAGGGCACACTGCTGCCTCATGGTCAWCKTGTCRTCCACCATGACRCCCAGGTCCCTCTCTGCGGGGCTGCTCTCCAGCAGATCAGTCCCTAATCTGTACTGGTGTCCGGGGTTATTCCTCCCCAAGTGCAGGACCTTGCACTTGCCCTTGTTGAACTTCATGAGATTTTTCACAGCCCAGTTGTCCAGTCTGTCCAGGTCCCTCTGGATGGCAGCACAGCCCTCAGGGCTATCAGCTATTCCTCCCAGTTTGGTATCATCAGCAAACTTGCTGAGGGAGCACTCCAGCCCTTCATCCAGGTCGTTAATGAATAAGTTGAACAGGACCGCACCGAGGACYKACCCCTGGGGGACACCGCTAACTACAGGCCTCCAACTGGACTCAGCACTACTGGTAACTACTGGACTCAGCACTACTGGTACTGCTTTCACAATGCAAGTCACGCGAACAGCCTCAGTCAGTGACTTTCTCCTGCCAGAACATTTCAGCAGAATTAGTGAATAATGCAGGAAGGTTTTGCAAAGACACAATACCAAACCACTGGCCTTTTGGTGGCCACTTCACCAACCTTGTACTTCACTGCTTTTGTTGTGATTGCAGAAGGTTTTGAGTGCTCTGTGTACAAAGGAAGAAAGAGAACGATCAGGGCAAAATTTATGGTTTTCCTCAAAGACACATTTCTCACTCAAAAATATAAGCCTTGTGGTTTATATGGTTTTGAAATATAACCACAGATACTGTAAACTGGAAAGGATTTGATTTATCATCTTGCCCACCTTTGTTGCCAGATTCAGGGTGGGGAAAATTTACTTTCATAGCTAAAAATGTGGAAATCAAATATGTTACTGTCAAAATTTTTAAAATAAGAACAGATTTGGAGAAACCCTTTGCCTTTGCAGAGTGAGTGCAGAGATGTCTCTCTCTGAGATCTCTGGATGCTATAATGGTATTTTGGAGAAGCTTGTTGAAGTGTTATGGTCTGCAGCCCCCTTCTTTTGCATCTGTGAAGGAAGGGACAGATAGTTGAGCTTGACCTAGAAGCTGAGGCTTCTCAGGCTTGGAGAATGGTGAATGTGACCATAATTCTGCTGCTCTTAAAGGATGCATAGCCAAGAGCAAAGGGATGGCTTCTGCCACGCTGGATTTTTATTCTGCTTCATATGGCCTCATGCTTGTTTTGTTTGTTCGGGTCATGCAGACTTTGAATGATCCATTTGGTAATGGTTGGTAGACTCTCTTTACTCATGGGAGAGCCACAGAATTTAACTCTTCTTTAAAATAAAAGTTCTGCCTGTTCTCAATATGTGGAATGAGAAAGAATTTTTCTGGCCTTCCAGTCTTGTCCTTTGTTGCAGATACATCTGCACATATTCTGTAGCCCTTTAATACATGTAGCAGCAAGTGATTGTGGTTTTTTACTCTTGTTGCTGTGACTGGAGACTGTTCCAGGACCTTCTCATTCTGTTATATAGAAGTTGTCTTCTGATTTGAGCCTAAATGAATTTGTGCTTCAGTTTGGACTGCTTGGTTTGCAGACACTTTGCTGTATGCTTTCTTCTCTTGCAAATTTTCCTATCTTCCTCTTACACTGAGCAATTATCTGCTCTCTGGATTCCTTCTGGAAGGCCTGAAAACTCCTAGGAAGGTCTTGTTCTTTCTCCTTGGACATCATGGCTTAGGTTCCTGCCACTTCTTGGTTCTTTGATGTGGATGAGCAGGCTCCTAGCTGATGCTCTAGCTAGGAACTCTAGTAGTGAGTGCAGTTTTCCTGCCACAGGCAGTAATTTATTTCTTAGGGGTGCCAGGAAGCCTAAGGAGAGACCAGTCCTCCAAAGTGGTTCTGGTTGAGGAAGAATTTTTAGTTCTCTTAGTAGACAAAGAGAGGTCAAACTTCACATTTTTTTTTCTTAGGTGGAGAGTAGCTAGATAAACTAGTTCAAGACCCCCTGCAAACTTCAGTATGAACTTTCAGATGAACTTGAGAGCCAGTTTCCAGGCTTCTGTATATACAGTGAGATTATCTTTCAGTTTTATAGGAAAAAATATCACCTAAGCAAGCATCTTGCATTGTTGATGCAAGGTTGAAAAAGCTCTTCAACATGTTGAATTATTGGCTGTATCTGAGCTCAAACACTGCTTTCCTAGTGGCTCTCATTTCCTGTTTTCCAGGTTGTTTGCTGCATGAATTACAGTGCCAACTTGCAGTGTATTTAGTTAAATGCTCAGTTGCATTCTGGTTCTTTTTCTTTCCGCATGTGTGTATAAATTTCATTTATACACACAAGAGTGTATATGCATGCACACACATATAGGCTGATTTTGACTGTTCATTGTTAATTTTGTGGAGAGCGGGGCTTTTAATGCATGCACACACATATAGGCTGATTTTGACTGTTCATTGTTAATTTTGTGGAGAGCGGGGCTTTTATTTTATTTTATTTTATTTTATTTTATTTTATTTTATTTTATTTTATTTTATTTTATTTTATTTTATTTTATTTTATTTTATTTTATTTTTGTAAAGAGAGTCTTTCCTCTTTCTAAGGATAACCTCTAGCTGAGAACAGCCTCTCCCGGAATGATGTAGAGTAATTGAGAAACTGGACATCTCCATATAACCTGCTTAGGAAATGTAGAGGGCCAAAGGCAATTTAGAAGCTGTTTCTCTTTCTGGTTAGCATGTTTCTTTGGGCTTTATGAAGATAGGTAACAGAAGATGCATAGAATGCAGGAGGGATGTTTTTGAGGATTCATCCAGATTTTTTTAACTTAGTCTTCATGTTCAAACTGTTCATGCCACAGATTTCCACCCAAAATATCCTAAAAAGTTTTAGCTAAATGAATATGAATGAAATAAAGATAGATAAGTAACAACATTACTTCTTTTAAAAATACAATGTGTCGAGACATTTGTTTCAGAAATACTCTTTTGGTCATTTGGCTTGCTGAATAATAAGAGATACGAAGTAGCAGTGTGTAAGATTTCCGTTAAGCAGGCCAAAAGGTACAATAAATTCCAAATAACTGTCCTGAAATATTTTGTTATTATTTTTGTGCTTCACTCTAATCACAACAACTTTTAGTCTTTCCTTCATCTGTGAGTCTGACCAAGGTTCCCGACCTGTTAGTCAAGTCTCTCCTGCGCTTACCAGATATCTGCTGATCTTGCAGGCAAATCTGCCTGCTCCTGTCTTCCAGGCCCAGGCTGGAACAAGGTTAACACATTACAGCTGTTTCTTTTAAAAACTGGTGGMTGTTGATAGTCTTCTATAAACTGTGCAAGAAATTGACTCTTCCAGGATTGTTTTGCTTCGTATTAAAAAGGGAAGAGATGGTGTGGGTGTATTTGAATGGCAGCGGTACGATTTAGCTGCACATGCCCCAGTCCAGTGTCTCAGGATTTGCACTCGTGCGGGCGCTTGGTTAAAGCTGTGCATGGGTGATGCTCAGGCTTCAGTGCTTTAATCCTGACTGGCAGCTGGAAGGGTGATGGTTTCAAACACAGTAGCCCAGAGCAGCTAGTTTCTCTTTGGCCAAACAATGCACCAGTGTGTCCAGGCTGCCAGTACCGAGCCAATAAATCTGTTTTTTGTTTTGTTTTACTTTTCTCGCCCTTCTCTCTTTCTTTCGCTTTCCTCCAGGCCAGGACCCACTGCTATTGCTGAAAACCCTTCAGCTTCTCTGGACAAAGAAGGAGATGAAGGAGGTAAGGCTGGGCGGTTGCACCTCCCCTCTGCGCTGTTGCTCATAAGTGCATGCAGAGCATGTCCTGGCACCGGGCCTGTGGGTCAGAGCTGCAATTCTTCACCATTGCTTTCAGTGCCAGTGCACAGGGGAAGGCCCTTCGCTTCTCAGCAAAGAAAAGGTAGTTCTGTGTGACATGACGCAGTTGAGGGGCTCATAAAAGAGCTGGAGCTCACAGGGGCTGAGTTGGGGGCGGGGGGAAGATAAATCAAAGTTTCTTTTATTTTCTTTGAAGCACATTTTTATCTATTAAAATATCTTTGGGGCAAGGAGTATTTCTAGTAGCTAAAAAGAAGATGGTTGAAGTCAATAGAAATGCAGTCTTTGCCAAGTGGATTGATAACAAAACTTTTGTGTTCATGACATTTTACTTTCTCTTTTTCTATTTGAGATGGTTTTGTCTTTTGGAGCAGTGAAAGCAGTTCACGCTGCCTTGCTGTGATTAGTGTTATATTTTTATGCAGGCCCCTATGGGCTCTGTGTGCAGAATTTCTCACAGGGACTAAAATATACTTCATCTAAATTTGGGAGTGTGAAAACTAACAAAAACACTGGACATACTGCCTTAGTGTCAACTTGCTCATTTTTAACTTTGGTTTGCCAAGGTTGGTTAATAGCTGTTTTTTTTTTTTTTTATTTGTTTGTTTTTTTTTAAGACCCAAGCATGTGCAGCAGCTCACGCCTTAGCCACATTGACTACTTTACCTAATACACCATGTGAAATGCCTGGTGAGGTCGAATCTCATATCAACGAGATACTTAACCCAATCCTAGTTATCCTAAATGTATCCAGTGTCCTTGTCTGGCATATTTAGATTCACCATTATGGACAGTCTGTGGTTCCCAGCCTAAATAATCAGGCAACTGAAAGCAGAACATGGGAGGTGTCTTTCTAAATGGTCAACTCCTAACATGGACTTGAGCTCAGCAACTGTGAAGCCTTGCATTTTATCTAAAGTTTTGTTAGGGTTGGACAAAAAAACATTATTTGTTAAGTCGTGAGGACAGTTAACTCCATGAAACCAACAGTAGGGAAGAGTAATCATCGGAGTCTCTATTTTTTTGCTGTGGGTTGAAAAGCTGGAGGAAAACCCCATGAGTTAGGCTTGCAGCTTAGTGTATGCAGTTTGTTTGCTCCTGGGACTGTCATCCTGGTAAAATTTCATAATTTCACATGGCTGGCCAGGAACTCCTGATTGCTTTGAGGAGGGCTCACTGACTATGAGCTATGTAGTGAGCTACTAGTGCGCTCACTACAGCTTCATGGTGGGACATCTTTGGCCTCTTTGGGCCCCTCTTTAGACTGCAGTGTGTGGCTGCATGTGCAAGCAAACCCATGCTTCTGAAACTGGGAGGTGCATTTCTGGACCACCTAAAAGTCTTTTTAGAGAGACCAAGAGGAATGTAGTGGCGCAGATGGCTCTAAGCTGGARAGCACAATGTGGATGTCTCCCAGAGCTTCTGACACCTGCCCACCATGCTAGCCATGAGACAAACTACTCAGTGTTCAGGATGTTGCTCTCCTGCTAACATGCGATGCACCTGCAGCAGTGCAGCCACTTGTGAGGACTGAAGCAGGGGAACCTGCTGCCCTACTCCTCTGAAGTTCAAGGGGTCCTAAGTTAGCTACTRTCTGTCTTTCCAGTGATTGAAATTGAGGGAAGTTGATTTACAGATGACTGTTCTTGCTCCATTGCTGTTTAAATGGCAGTGACCTCCTCCTCCTTTGCTTGTGTGCTGTGAGTTAATACCATATATTAACTAGTTTGTATCAGTTTCCATTATTTGGTACCCTTTTGTCTCAAAGCCGTGAACATAAGCAGAAGGAGGGCTCCTATCTAGGGCAGGACCCTGATTCTGGAACATGGTTTTAAGAATTGACCGTGTTTTTTGCAGCAAAGACAGTTTTGGAATAACAGACATCTGAACTTTGTAACTAGAAGTTAGGAGCCAAAACTACATGAAGGAGTGTGAAGTTTGAGCATCAGCAAAATGTTCCTACTCCCAGATCTGCTAGGCTTTGGAAAAATCCCCAGGAGTATGTAAGCCCCGCCATGGGAATCGATTGAAATGCCAATTACACGTTGGAGAGGACTCCTTCCCTGATGGAAGGACGAGCCAGGCAACACAATACTCTTTTCTCTCTGATTTCTCCAATTTAGATATCTTAAGCAGATGCTTCTTTTTGAGCAGTACATGCCATTAGCTGAAGCCCTTGGATTGCTCAGAAGTTCTAAAGAAGCCTTTGTCCCCGCTTAAAAAATCTAAATGATCTATGTTCAAAACTCATTCTAGATATATTGTTGCTGTTCTTGTCAGTGCTGTAAGTGTTTGGAGATACTGCGCGTGTGAAAGCAGGCTTGTACTCTCCCAAGGCTTGTCCACTGCAGGCCATCCTGCCAAAGCCTCAATTTGGTTTCCAGCTGAAGGAAGAGATGAGTTGTGCGGTGAAAGCTCTCATTTGACCTATATGTGCTGAAGTGGAGCTTTGGGGGAAAAAAATAAAGAAGGAGGCCACTTATACACAGTGCGATTTACTTGGCCAGTTGCTTTGTTTTCCTTTGGCTGTTGTGTTGGATACTTGTGGTTGGAGGAGAGCTTGCTTGTTCCTTCTGCTGAATCTCGCTGTGCAGATGGAGCCCTATGTTTAACAGCATGATTTCTTGCCACAAGGAAAAACACTTAAGAAGGAGAAAGCTGTTATCTGAAGTCACATCTTTGTTAGTCATCAGCTTTTTCATGCTACATTTGATAATTTAGTGAGAAAGAAGCAGTCTCTGTCATAAGCGATACATTTTGTGCTTTTTTTTTTTTTCCCAACATGAAAGAGGCTGTGGAAAATGACCATCTTCCAGTAAATATTACGAATGAATAAGAAAAAAAAAAAGAGAAAGAAAAATCATTGGCAAACTTTCTGTAGATTTTTCCTTTGTCTTCCATGTCTGTCTTCAAACTGTATGTTGTTTCCATTGGAAGCTGCAACTGGGACCATCCTATACAGTAAATTATAAGTGCTGGCTGCAAGCAGGAATGAGCATCTTTTGGATTTTACTTTTTTAGCCAGGAAAGAGAGAAAGCAGCTGCTCGTGGTGATTTCTTGTTTTCTCTCTCTACTTTTGCTTTGCTCCATGCCAGTATGTGTATCATGTGGTGAAAGGTCCTGTGTGGGTACTGAAGGATGCCACTTGCTCACCCTGCCAACCCTGTGAGCTCCTTGGAAACTACTTCTAATGTAAACATTATAAAGATATTGCTCAATACTGCTAATTTATCACTTCTACCAGATGGGTAGTAAGTAGCCTATTAACATTCACAAAGTGAGTGTCCAATTCCTTCACATTTCTAAACACATCACCCTAGGATTCGTAAGATTTATGGAGTTGGAGTTTTCCCATGTTCCCAAGCTCTTAGCAGTGCCTGACGCTTTTACCGAGGTGTGCAGGGTCTACCACACATTTGGCAGCAGGTAATCTGCAGTAGATACCTTGCACAGGTTAGTTTGGAGGAAAAGAGATTAGTTTTACTGTATGGCAGCCTAGGTTTTGAATTCTGATGCTTCATTCTATTTATTTTCATCTGCAAAATCTGAATTATTCCATTACTCTCAGATATTCCATTGTCATGAAGGGCACTCATGCTCTTGACRCTCGAGTGGGTTTAAGGTCAAATAGGAAAGTTAGTGGTATAAGAATGGGGAGACAATTTAATTTACTGAGGTCTGCTAGGAGTTAAGTAGGTTCTGAGCTCTGTCATCTACCTTTATTGCCATTTTCCTAATAACACTACTTTCTCCAGCTCACTTCTTTCTTGTCCCCACCCCCAAATCCCGAGCGCTTTTGTGTGCCCCACAGAACAACTTCTCTGTCTTTATGGGATAATTAGTGTGGACAATTGCCGCTTTTCCCATTGAGTTTGAGGTGCAGTGAGCCGTGAAGGAATCTGTAATGACATAAAAAGTCACTGGAGGCGCGGATGGTGGCTGAATAGCAACAGTTACCTCTCTGAATAGATTAAGTTAAAAAAAAATAAAGCTTTGTGTCCAGTTGGGGGAAGGGAGGATTCACTAATCTTTTTTTGTACATGACAATGTGTTTTTGTATCTCAGCAGCTCAAGGAAGAAATCAGGCAGGGCTTTGCAGCACTGGAGGACCCACTGACAGGACTCCTGGACATGCTGGAGAACAGCAGTGATTGGAAGGGGAAAGGACATTCCCTGGGGTATTACATTACCAGCGAGTTGCAGCTTTGGATAAAAGAGCATCCTGCTGTTCCACAGGTTAGAAAAAGAGAGCAAGAGAGATTGTGGAGAAAAGAAAGGGCAATTGATTTTCATGTCCCTGAAGTGTACCTAGGTTCACTTCGTTCCATAGTCCAGGATCTCTTCTGTATTCTTGCACTGAATGCAGTATGACTTGTTAAGTGAAATTCTTGCTGTGGTGCTGTCATGTGGTGATGGTGACCTGAAAAATGACATATTATTCAAAGCTGTGATGCCACAGTGTCTTTCTGTTTCTCCACGCAAGCTGGGATTTCTATCTTTCCAGATCAAAACCACTTGGAGCATGGATATTTCAGTCTTTGGCTGGACTTTCTCACTGGAGCTTACAGTGCTGCCATCAGCATAAATCCAATTGCAGTGATCTACTCGGCATGTTCTTCCAGTTCTGTAAATAGAAGCCAGTTACTGTACAGTTCCTTAATTTTTGACATATGGTGGGGAGCTTTTATCTTTCAAAATGCAGAAAAGAGTAACAGTATGACTTTTCAGCAGCTAAATGATTGGCTTTATAACACTGGGTCATCAGATTATATGCCCTAATGCTTACCATTCTTCATGCCATTTTATATTCTGACCTGTTGAGATTTTTCCTTTTTTTGTGCTTTCTACTTCTGATCCGTTAGATACTTCTAAATTCGTATTGTTAGATACTTCTAAATTTGTGTTGTTTCGTTTTCCACTATTTCAAATGACTCTTTTTTGAGGCTGGCCTTTACAGAATTTTTTCAAAGATYGCTGCCAGTACAGTATCTGCGATATTGCCTTGAAATTCCTATTTGCTAAGGGAMACATCATGCCAGGAGCACAATGCTGAATACTTGCATTTCTACCTCTTACTATGACACTTCTGCTTTTTCTGACCTTCCTGTACCTAGGCCCYGGAACAAGCCAATAGAAGACAATTGAGTGGTTACACACGATAGGAGAAAATCAGTGTTGAGGGGAGTTGGTGGATTCAAAGATTTTTTCAGTGAGGAACTAAAGGAGAGAATTTTTAAATAGCTGTATTAGTAAAAGAGGGCACTTCTCCAGTTTCGTATTTGCCTTTTGTACAAGGCCATATGCTTTTTCCAGAATAATCCCACAAACGTTTAAATGTTTTCAAATTGGATGCTGTGAAAAAAATGTGCATCATATTGTTCTGATTTCTGCATGCAGACTCCTTGGGGAAATTGGAGAATCCCTTCCCAAGGAATTGGCGTCTTCCACTGTTTAAGCAAGCTGCATTTGCAACTGCCATTGAATTGTAGCCATCTTGACTAAATCTGTGTTTGATTTTTTTTTTTTTTTTTTTTTTTTTAATTTTTTTTTTTTTTTTTTTTTTTCAGTCTGGTATGTACCTAAAGAAGTTGCAGACTCGTGTATTCAGAATACTAGCCCAGTGCCCAGCTAATCTTCTTGACCCTCTGATTAGCATTTACCAACTCCATACAGCAGACCGGAACTATTTGCTTGGACACGTCAGTCATCTTTATCACAAAGGTGATTACAAAGAGGTGGGTCATGTCTTTCAAATAAATTTACTTTCTCAGCTCTGTAGTTCTCTGTTAATGCCTGTGTCCATTTTTGGATGCATTTCAATGTAAATTCCGTTTCATCACAGCAGCTGCACACTGTGAATGATGCAGCTTAGCATGGCCTTCTGATGTACATGTGTAGACTGTCTTCAACCTTATTTTTTTCTGATGGCTGAATACTGAATGGCAGTGAAACCTTCCTCTACCCTTTTCTTGACCTTTGAAAGTAATGGATTAATAGGGTTTAATTTGGAGAACTTAAGAGGATGGTTGCACACTTTTTTTATGTTCCTGGGGACTTTTGTAGGCATTCATAGACCTGCTGTGGAAACTCCAATCTGCCTACAACAAGAAAGGGTTGGAAAATCTCTCTGTTTCCAAGTGATTACCCTAGCTAGAAGGGCTGCTTAGTTCAAGGAAATCTGAAGTCTCTTACCACATGAGCCTTATGAGCCAAAAGGTGTTGGTACTCATGCATTTGTGTGTGACTGACTGACAATGATAGGAGTTCACCAAAACCTAAATCTGGTATTTTACCATGTATCTTAGGGCATTCTGAGTATCTCTATCATCACTGTGATGTCTAGATATTTTTAGGATTGTTCTCATGAGCAAAACACACACAATTATAAAAAAACGAAAATTATAAAAACTCAACAGCAACAACAAAACACTTTCTCAAGGGGAGATGGGTCACTTTTTTTAAAGGAACCTAATATTTAGGATCTTTTAAAAGGTTTTTAATCTTTTTCTTCAGCAAAACAGTAGTTCTCAGGAAAGCTTTGCATTCTCTTCTAGGTAATTTCTGAATACAGCGCAAAGGTTAATTTGCATGTAGTTAGAAGTATCCATAACTACTTGTGACTTGTTTTTTGTTCAGTGAGTCTTTGAACATGAGTGTTTGAAAATACTAGMAGAAATGCAGTGTTTGGCAATATTAAATGTAATTTTTATATTCTCAGTTCCCCAAATATAAATTGTTTTCTTTTAGAAATGTAAGTCTAACAATAAAAACAATTCCACCAAAAAATGTATACTTCTTTTGGTTCATTCCACAGTAAAGCTCATTTACTTATTGCATGCAATGTGAAGTACAGGGATCTTCAGATAGTGAAAGCCCTTAGCCATGATTTTCTTGTACTTATGTTTTTACCAGAAGGGTGAACAAAACTGTCTTGGAAAATGACAGTCATGTAGGAGGAAATCTTTTATTCCCATTGGGAGAGATCATAACTTAATCCAAAAAWACTGGAAGTGGGATGCTGAGCACTTGCTGTGGACTGTTCATCAACTGTGGACTATTCATTTCAGATGGGACAGTAAACCAGATTCAAATGTAATATTCTTGACTCTTTTGCTTCTTGCCCACAATGAGAAAAACCTTAAAAGCCATTAATGTCATTTGTTTTTTGTCCCATTTCTATATTTAGAAAGCAATTTGTTTCCTTTAAAGTATTATCRTGTGAATCTTAGAACTCTGCAGCTTTGTTCCATGAGTTAAGGTTGCTTTCCCTCAAAAAGCTTTAGGAGAAAGGTCTCTTTAGAAAATCAGATCCCATAGGATCCAAAGGGACCGGCCTAGCTGTTTGCTTCTAAAGCACATTTGACCCTCCCTGTTTCCCTAAAATTAGTCAAAAGCTGAACCAGTTTGCTAATCAGAACTRCAAGAAGTTCTGCAGCTGTGCGAAGCTGCTGTTTGTGATTCATGAATGTTGATAACACTTCTTTAAGTCACAGCAGACCCTCCACATCCCAGGTTGGACATTTCATGGGCATGGTGCTTTATGGTGGGAAGATAAATCAATGTAAGGTTAGTGCCATGTTTTTTTTGATGTGGATGTAGGTAGGTACCTTCCTACTTTGGCTTAGCAGCAAAAATAATTGCTATATATTCTGAGAGATATCCGATGGAGCTGGTGGATATGGTTAGCTGGCCAGAGGATGGCACTCTTGCTCCCATGACACAGAATAAGCTGATAAAGTAACAGTTCAAGATGATGACAAAGACATGTAAGTGGTATTGGAGGCATTTGGTATTTTGTTTTTCTTYCTTCTGTCCAAAAATAAATGAGGGTTCATTGCAGGTGCTGGAGGAATGTGGTGTGGGGCCTTGCACAGTGCTCCAAAGGAGCTTCCGAAGCAGCTTCTGTCACAGGTCCCATGTAAAAACTTGAGTTCTTATTTTACAAGGATATCCAGCTGGAGGATCTTAAAATATCAGCTCGTGCTGTTTCAGCTGCAGTACCTGCAGTTTCACTCCCTTTTCAGCATCCACTTGCTCTCTTGAGCTAGGCCCATGTGTAAGAAAGGCCCGGTAGTCCTCCGACACCTGCAACGAAACCAGCCTGCTTGCCACCTTCAACCGCAGGGCTGGCTGAAATGCAGCGCATGCCGGGCAGCGCATGGAGCCCCCCGTTGCTGCCGTCAGTGCTGCCTTTGACGGCTCATCCTGCAGGCGCTGCCTCGGTGTCAGCCCGGCGGCTTTGTGGGCAGCAAGATGGCCGTGGTGAGGCAGGAACAATGCAGGGATTCAGCGGCCCTGGGGTAATACAGTGTGAGGCGAGTCTGTGAGGAGGCCCTGAATAGGCCAGGCTGTGCTCGAGAAGAATGAGGGCTAGGCAGAAGGCAAGCTAGTGTTTCATGGTCATCTTATGTTACACTTCAGCCTTTCAAAGAGTGTCTGGGGCTGCTTGAATGAACCTCTCTTGCACTCCCAATGCAGGAATCCGGAGACAAAGGGGACTCTTGTCACTCGCAGGCCCCTTTAGGGAAGAAAAGCCATTGTCACATGAACAGGGGCAGTCTGGCAGGCTGTGCATGCTTCAGTGCCCCATGATATCGCTGCGTCTCGGCGGCAATCACATTCAGGGTCCTGTCAGCTTTGATTAGCGGGGTCTCATGACTTAATGTGCCGCGATATTTCACGTCTAAGGGTGGTGGCCGTCTTTCTGCAGCATGAATGCCTACCATTGTCTGTCAAGTTATTTTATTTACATTTTTTTTAAACAGCTTATAAAGGTAAAAAGATAGCTGTGCTGAAAAAAAAAAAAGAAAGAAACAGAAAAAGTTCAAATTCCTTTGCTTCTGGATCAGTAGTAAGTACTGCTTGGGTCAGATACAGTGAAACTTGTTTGCACAGCGAGCATCAAAGTTCTTGTCGTGTTTAACAGCTTTATAGTAATTCTGAACAGGTGGCAGTGGAGCTGGATTTAGGAAGGAAACAATAAATAATCTTTTTAGCCTCTGACAACCGAAATATTCTTGGGCCTGAGAGAGCTCCCTCTCGGACATCTCTACACCAGAGACCAGAAGTAATTTTTTACCCCTTCCTCCATCAATTTGGCTCTTAAGGGAGACCATTGCTGTGAGTTTTTAGAGAGACAAGAAGTATGTCATTTTTACTGAACTTTTTTTTGGYCCCTCTCTATTTTTTTCTGTTTTCAAAAGCGGAGTATTTATACTATAAATGGAATATTCTATTAATACTTTATTTGTTGATATATTTATGCAAATAGGGGGTGTTCAGTCTATATGTTAAACAGTGCATTCTTTCAAGTAAAATACCRAGGTTTAAAAAGTTAAGGTGTTAAATTATGACATAAAATGCACTTAATTGGAGTACCCCAGCAAAGAAGTTCTGTGGATGCAGAGTTCAGATTTTGTCAGCAGCACATAGCAAACAAATTATAAAAAGTGGTTTAACAATTCTGTAGGAAGGATGATTGACCTGAGGGTTAAACTTAAAGGAATATGAATATGCTAAGGTCTAGAAATGCATAGTTCAACCACTGATAACCCTGAATTTTCACTGTAGTGATGTTCTGCAAGCTGAGGCATGGATCCTTGTAGTTCTACTTTATACTAATGTTTAATCTGTAATTAGGTTGACTGATCTCTTAATGGATATTTGAATTGGGGATTTCTTCATTCTTTTTGAACTTTTCTGAGCTCTTTCTGTGACAGCGAAAATATTTGTTATTACTTCTTCCCCTTGTCCCTTGCCTTACAAAATTTTGTTCAATTCATGTTGTATTTTACCATTGCATGTACATTCTGAATTTCTCCGTCTCCCACCATCTTTTTCCAGAGGCRCTTTCTGCTATGGGCATTTCTCTGGAGAAGTTGCTTGGAAAGGGGTTTGAGCACTGCTGGGGAAAAAATAACTCAGCTGGTCTGTTCATAGAGAGAATCTGAATTTGGAGGATCTGGTGAGGTGGGTGGCTGACATCCATAAGAAACTTGGGCAGAGCTTAGAGGCTCACTTTGTTGTGAGGATGCACTGACCAGTTAAACCAGGTTTAAAGCTGCTTGAATGAACAGAGGAAAGCAAATCACTCAWGTTTTTTTGTTTCAGTTCCCTCTTCCTTTTGCCTGCGTGCACATCTATTCCAGTYATGACTTTCACTCCTTTCCCCCTGCTTCAAATTCTTCTCTACTTATACTCATACCCTTCATTAGTTATTTTGATTAACTTACTCTTAGTGAAATACTGCTGTGTTCTCTTGAAACCAGTGGACCTTGGAAATTGTTTGCTCTTTTCTCTTCAGAAAAGAGAGATCTTCATCTCTCCAAAAATGAGTACCGCATTTAAGCAGGAAGCAGTTAAACATGCTACCTGATGTCTTGCATCATGCAGTGTTGGACTCTAGACTGTTTCAGTAACAGTTGATGAGGCACAAGTTTGAAAGAGTTGAGTCCAAAACACATGTTCCCTGTGATTAATAAATGGTGTTCATTTCAGTCAATTCCTTCTACCATTATTATGCATCTGCATTTTCATCATCATGATTTTCTTAGAACTGACATTGGGTCTTACCCTGCAAGGTCGTATTCCTTTGTTTGGGCTATTATATGGTTTTCCAGAAATTCCTTCACCGTTGGTTCAGAAATACTACACTAAATGAGGCACAAACACACTTGCCACTGTGTTGTCTCAAGTTACTTGCAGCAGAGCTAAGCAATCAAGCAAAAGCCATCAGAAACAGTTTGTCTGTCCTACATCATCACTGCAATCAGTGCTACTAGCTAAAGGTTATTCCTCTGATGCTTCACCCCACCGTGGGAAAACTGCCCAAATCATCAGGGTAGACACCACCCAATTGCACATGCTCTTGCAGATAACATCTCTTGTGGCTTCCTGCACTTCATACTGTATATGGAAAGAGTAGTCATTTTTAGATGGTAAAGCCAGCTGCATTCGAAACGAGTACAGCGGATCAGGTATTGGTGCAGGATGCTCTGAGCTCATGTCTTCACTTGAAAACAGCCACCACTTTCTCATACTCTTGTTTTTACAGTTGCATGACGAGGAAACTGCTCTCCCATCACAGCAGCTGCTCTGTGCCTCACAGCTTAGTCAGAATGCTTCAGGTTGGTGATAATTTCCCCTGTGTTATGGGCAAGGCACTGCCAGACCTTTTAGCTGCAGCTTGTCATAGTATTGCCCAACTTCAGATTCTTAAACTTGGAGATCTTGTCCATTYGTAAGAGTCTGCACTTCTCAAGCTTCAGCTGGATTAAGTAGGTATCAGAAAGATATGTTTGCCTTTGGATGGTGTTTTTGTGGTAGCAGCTAGTCATGCTGTTGTCCTAACTATGTCTTGAGGATGGGACTCCATCCATCCCTCCCTAGATACCTTTTTTAAGGTGTATATCCTTAAGGAACAAAACTACAACAAGCTGTTGTTCAAACATAGTTTTCCTTTGCACCACATTTCAAGCAAAGAAGGACCCAAGCTCTCTGAAGAAAATGAAGAGACTTGCTAACTTAGGGATAGGAATGGGTCGACACTTTTTTTTTTTTTTTTTGTCTCTGTGGAGCTCTAGTGTCATTGTGAACATTCATCTTACAGATTAGGGGAAGAAAGACAAAAGAAGGATGAACCTTTCTCATGCTTCTCTTCTGATGAGCTCTGGTTGTGTGTCTGGGACTGGAGCAGAGAGTTACATATAGTTTAATTGCTTTTATGTGTTATTTCCTTGCCCATTTCATTACATTTTAGAAACTCTCTTTGAATTAAATATATAATTGAAATGACTGCACTACAAGTGAGGACAGCAATGCATTTTCTTCCATAGCTCAAGGCAGGATGCATASACTTTTCTAATAAAATGACGATATGTTCATCAGAGTTCATCTGAGTTTATTTCAGAGTGGCTAAGTAGTAGGTTAGAGGTTTTTTTGCTCTGATTTATCAGTTGATGAAGTGAGGGAGGCATCTGCTACTTAGCATTCTTATTGCCTTGCTGGTGCAGTGCTAGGCTGAGAATTTGTAATTAGGTTAACATCACTACTAGTTTTTAGTTACCCTGGCTAGTCTTTTGGTGCAGCTTGGAAAATGCAGCCCTGTATCTGGGGAGTTGCTTGTTTCTTGGGTAAGCAAGGAGATTCTTACCAATTTAGTTAAAGCAAGCTACCTGCCTAGTTCTATTTTGTTTTCTAACTACAAAATGAGTCTGTGAATGAGGTGTTGCTTTTTCTGGAGCTCTTATTCTTTATAAACATACTGTTAAAAATAGGATCATTTTACAGAAAACTTGTTTGCGGAGCAAAACAATTCAAAACATGATAATAGCCAAACAAATATCTTAAAATAGCTTTAAGTTGAGACCACAGGAACAGCTGCCAAACACTTTCATCTTTATTACAGTTACTCATATCTCTTCTTTTATTATTCCCATTGTAAACAAGCTGATTTTTATCCAAGTTGTCCTCACTGTTCAGCCAGCYCATGCAACTGCACCCTGCACTTCAGTCTGTTTGTTTGAGTCTAGTGCCCGGATCTGATGGCTTCTTCTCCATTGAGCTGTGTGCAAGGAAGAGGCTGCAGCCTCATTACTTACAGCTTTCCCCTCTGCAGGAAGTTACTGCCACCATTTCCTGTCAGGGAAATTTGTCCTGCTGGTCCATCATCTCCTTCAGTTGGATGATGTCAAGATAGTACTGGCCGCCAACTCATCTGAATTGCTGGAGGTGAAGGAGAGCAGGGTTCCTCCAACCTGTTGTAGTGGTGAAGGTGTCCAGTGGGTGAGGACTGGGTGCTCTTTCCCTGCCACAGCTGGATCAGGATGGTGATGTCTCTTTACTGCTTGATTAAATGCATGTCCATTGATCTGCACCCTTTAGTGCTGAGTAGAAGTTGCACCAGTAAGAGGTGAATGCAGCCTAACAAGTTCATCTGATTAAATCACCTGCACTGTTAGTAAAGATGGTGGTAAAAGTAGGCCATTTAGATAACAACTCTGCAGTTGGGCTCATCTGAGCATTAACATGAACATTACAACATTATTAGAGAAACTATTGTATGCTTGCATGTTAAAACTTACAAATTACTTGTTTAATGCAAGGCACTAATGAGGTCAAATGGTGAAACAAGATTTTGAGAGAGCTAGGCTCTTTTTATTTGGCAAACTGACATAGCTGCAAGGAAGAAAAAAACAAGCTGTCAAGCTTTTGGAGGCACAAAGCCTTTCTTCAGGTCAAAAATAAAAGCAGCAACCTTCGGCTTGTATACAAGTTAGAATAATTACTGAACTTGAACTTTATTATGTTAATCAGATAATTTGAAAGAAAAGGTAGTTGCCTCTCGTGGAGCAGAGTAGCGTATTAGCATATAAACAGATAGAATAGTTATCAGGTCTGGAGTGAGAAGTCTTTGCTGTGTTAGCTGGTCTGAGAGATTATAAAATGCCTTTCTGTTCAGTATTGGATTTGGAGCATACGGTCAATATAGTTAACGTTAGTTACTGGATTTGTCTCTTAAAATTGTTCTCTTGGCTTCTGTTTGGGACAAAGGCTAAACAATGACGGAGCATTCATTTTGTTTAAAAAAAAATCAAAAATCCCTCTGATAACTGGATATTTGTGTTCTCTTTAGTTGCAATAGTTTTACAAAGCATTCKTTGGCTATTGCTTGTGCACACTCAAGTCTTTGGGGCAGCAGATGAAATATAAGCATGGTTTTCCTGGAAGGTAATGAAATCCACAGCTTCTGGTGCTTCTGGTGTGGATGATGATAGCATGAGTTGTTAAATGTTGCGTGTGATGCTCTGACTGGATCTGGTTCCCTTTGATACATCTGCAGAATAAGGGCTTCCTGTCACAGTACAAGCTGGKATGTCATTTGTTGGAACCATAGAAAATTTATTTCAAGGTATGCTCCTCCCCCCAAATAAGTTATTTTTCCTGTTTTATGATTATTATTCTTATCGTTATTTTGTTTTTCTATGAGGTTTTAACACATGTGATGCACAACATGAGGGTTTATAGTTGCTTGGCTTTAGGGTACCTTTTGCTGCGTTACGTTTATTTATGTGTTCTAAAAAGTAAAACAATTCTGAAAGGTCCCTTTTTTAGAAGCAAATACATCATACTTTTTCTTGAGGCAAAATGAATTGCAGTTATCAGAGAAACTGGTTGAAGATAAGCGCTTTTCCTTGAAGTCCAGACATGTTGAATAAGCAGGCATTTGCGAACCATATTGATTATWTGCTGTGTGGCATTACATGTGTGCTGCAGATCCAGTGCTATCAAACACTAAGTTTACAATCCTCTTGGAGAATATAGCCTAACTTTCCAAAGCCGTGAGAAGGATGTGGAGTAAATCATCCTTATTCCCTAGCTTACAATTATGTGAGTGCTAATGCATAAATGCACTAAAAGATTCCTTGCTCATATTAATCCATTAACCAGAACAGTATCTTATATTAAAGAAAGCTATCATAGGCTTATTTTTATTTTATACTTGAGACCCCARCAATCTTACGCATTGCAGAAATTACAGATACTCTTATGCTTTTAAAATCCTAATTAGTTTGTGTTACTTATGCTGCTGGAGAAAATTCTTTTCTAGCAGTTTTGTCCAAGCATTTTACTTTCTCTCAGGCAACCTGATCTATAAATTTTTGCCCCAACGTATGCTGCTGCTTGGGATATGTAATACAGGCAAGAGCAGTTCTGTAGTTTTCTAAATGGGCTGTATATGGGCAGATATTTGTATGATTTCTGCTTTAACATGTAACAAATAATTTTCATGTTAAAAACTTTTATAATCACATATATACTTCTCCTTGGTGTAATGTCCRTTTATCCTCTGCGATGGTCTTTTCCTAAATGCACATCTTTTTTTTCTTTTCTGTTTTGTAGGCAGCAATACTGAGTATAAAGCTAAAACTGCAACCAGATCAAGACGTGGAAAAGGTGAGTCATTTCCTCTGCAGGCTTCTCTGTCATCAGATCCATTTTGTGTTAAACAGGACATCTATCATAGCCTTTTAAGCTGTGATGGTTTCATATGAGGCTTTATCTTGTTCCTGAGAAGTCACTAGAGCAATGCTGGTGCAATATTATGTCTAGGGAGGTATTAAAATGTATATAAAGGTGTTTTTTCCAACCTCATTGCATTTATCATACCATTTTTCTAGATGCAGTCACAGTGATGAAAAGTCCTTTTCTCAGGGCTGTTCTTGACAAATAATTATTGCTGTGATAACAATTTAGTGTAAAACTGGTCCCTAGATACTATTTGTAGTCTCCATTCAGGACAGTGAGTAAAGAGAAATGACTTRGATTATTCCATTTATTGAGAGATGGTAAAATGTAATTTTGATGAAACCTCAATCAAATAAACTCTGAAGTTAACACTTTTGCTATTTTGACTAATACTTGTGTTAAAAATGCCACATCCTTCTCCTAAACAATACTGGTTGGTGAAGCAAGGGTTTTGTCGCTTGCTGTCCATCTTAGGAAATGTCACAGCCCTCCATCAAGATTTGGTCCCTGCACATAAACTCCTCTGTGCCTCCTGCATGCTCAAAGCGGACAGATTGAGCATGGGAAGACCATATTCAAAGGCAGACCATGGTGCCTCTAATGTTATCTGTACTAACTGTTATTTCTTTTTCTAGATGTGTACACCACTACTGCTTCAAGATAAAACTAACTTGGTGGAAGCTTATGTGGGAGAACATCCTGAGCTCCAGTGCAAGCTCTTGCAGATYCTGGACACATGGTGTGAATCTGGTTTTAACATCAAAAACATCTCAAGGTGCAATTCTGTTTAATTTCTAAACAGCAAGGGACCAATGKACTGTCAGGGGACAATATATTCTTTCAATCCCCAAGATGATTTTCTCAGCATAATGGTATGCAATATATGTTCTGTTCAGCTGAGAAAGGGAAAGTTCTGCTGTCCGTGGCAAACGCTTTTAAAATACCTCCTCCTGTTAAGATACTGAGATATCATTCCTATTGATAGATGTTCAGCTCCGGACAGGAGAAGTGCAATATGGAAGCTCTGCAGTAGATCCTAGCAATTTAACACTACCAAAGCTCCTTATGGGAGATTGTAATAAACTGGCTCTTGTACTTTGCTGCAGACAAGATTAAGTTTTAGTATCGGTTATACAGGTTTGGCAGGAAGATAATGCTGTGATGAAGTGGCAGAAAAACAAGAGGTGCAAGTGGTTAACCTTCATGTTCTCGTGAAATAGTCGTGTGTATTTTAATTTATAAATTGTCTTTCTCGAGAATAGCTCCTGTCAGTCACAAAGCTAACAGTCAGACTTGCRGTGCCGATGCCCTGCTCGCAGTATTTGTCCTGAAAGAAGAACACAGAAAAGCGCATGACGACCTTCTTTAAAGTAGACTTATTTGTCATTGGAGAACTTACAYGATTGTACTGTGGACTTTTTGCTGCAACGTAAGAAAGATAGAGGACAGTTCATACCAGCAGCTTCCAAACCCAACATCTCCTCTGTTAAATATCTCTTTAGGAAGAATTTCCTGGTGGTTTTCACAGATTTTCTTTTAATGATTTTGTTTGTTTGCTTACAGACAATATCAAGGYCTGTCCAAATACAAACCGGATAAATTTAACCACAAAATGCTAAGCAAGCTGGTCTTCAGGCTTCTAGAACAATTTAACTTAGATCCAGGTATGTGGTATTGCAACATATGCTTGAGATACCTCTCCAATAAAGAACAGATAAAGCCAATTTGTCTTCTTCCATGTTCAGCAAGGAATCTGTGCTGTAATTTATCATGGGGAGTTTCAGGGTTTAATTAATGGTGTTTAAAAACAAAGCTGGTAAGTTATGGGAATTATCACTTCRTACTGTCGAAGAATGAAGTGCTTGYGGCTAATAGACTGCTTCTTCCATGATATGAAATAAATCTTGACCTCAGAATGGCTGTATATAAACACATGATGGTCAACTTTGAGTTATGACTCTGTTCCACTCACATAAGAGGCAAGTCATTACTCATCTAAGGATCTGTTTTCTTGAGTTATGAGTCTGTGAGTTGAGAAGAGATAACCCTTGGGAAGCAGGAGCCTCACAGCCCTATTTATTCTTTTCTGTTAAAACGGGATTGGCAACAGAGAATTGTAAGGTTCTTGCAGCCTTCTGGGAAAAGTAAACCATCTTACATCATTGAATATGTGATATATGATGTATGTATGCTTCACTGCCATTTATTTGAGAAAATCTGCTTTGCTTTTGTTGTTAATGGGGACTATTGATCTTTATTCTTCTGTTTAGGATGCTGTGTCAAAACCTTTACATACATCATTAGATTTTAACTTACCTCTATGATCGACACAAGATACGCAGTTCTCTTTTCTTGGACTGAAAAGTGTTTTCTAACCACAAACTGAGTCTCATTACACCTGGCAGCAACTTTATATTAATCTTCACGTCTTCAGACTGCTCTTCAAGTTCATACGATAATAGTTGCGAGCCCTTCTTGAAGGATATGGAAATATAATTAAACCAAACACATTGATGTGAAAACTGAGACACAAGGAGGGATTTGTTTTTCTAAATCTTAAACCTATCCAGTAGTTTACTGCTTTCTTCCATTATTTTTCATGCTTTATAACATTCATCATTCAGGAGATTGTGTTTTCTTTTATGATTTATAAAGACAATTGCTCTTCGCTTCCTGAGAGATCCAAGATGAACAAGAAAGGGGGATGTGCCTGGTGATCTAAGTTGCTTGTAGGGGAGTATGGTGGGCCTTAGCTGCTGCTGGTGTCCCAGCTTTGTAGCAACTGGTGGTAATGGAAAATCTCTCTAGACTTYCACAACAGGCTCCCTGGTAAGAGAGTTCCTCGAGGTGTGCAGCACTAGAGTCTTTCCTGCAGGCCACCTTCCCACCTACACTTCTAGAGAATAATTTAACCTGCACCAAGTGTAGTGTCTACAGTGTAGGACCAGTCACTTGCTAGACGTGTCTGTCCCCCTCTACTGATGTAAGAGGAAATGTGGACTCCTAATTTAGATGAGATGCTGGACTTGAGGTGGCTGAACCAAGGATGAATGWATCTCACATGTTCTGTCTTAGATGAAAAGTGATATTACTTAGAAGTCATATCACATGAAAGTCAGAGCAAGACTTATTAAATTTGCTAGACTGTTGGGCCGCTTGGGCTCCTTTGAAGCCTTCTGGAGGAGGATAAAAACATTCAGAGACAGTTTACCCTTCATGCCAAGTCTGCTTGGGTTGAACTGGGAAAATGTGGCACCTGGAATATCACAGCTTTCCTTTCCTCCTCCTTTCCTTTCTCCTTCCTTCTCTCCTCTTTCTAGATGCCCCCTCTCCCTTATTTAGTGGAAGCAAACCTGACTGTGAGAAAAGAGCATATGAAAAGGAAGCAGGTTAAGTAAAATGTGCAGATTTTAAAAGCTCCCTTCTCTTGCTCTGAGCAGCTCCATCAAAAACCAGCAGTGAGCTAGCACTCTCTTCTTGTTACCTAACCTAATTGTGGTCTTGTTGGATGCCACAGTCTGCAGCTCTCTCTGTCTCCTCKGTTGTGACTCCTTCTCATTGTCGGAGCCTGAGAGCAGCAGCACAAACGGGAAGTGGCTTTCGGTGAGAAAAGCCAGGAGGGGACAGGGTTTCTTGGTATGAGAAGGCAGGCTCGTAGGTGACTCAGTTCTTGCAATTCCACATCCAGCAGCCTATTAACACGAAAGCCCCACATGTGAACGGTTGTCTGCTGATTCACAGAGGTGTCCTCATAAATCCTGTATGTGCATCCCCTTTAATTAGCTTTCCTGGAGAAGGAAGCAGATAAGCAGAAATGGCACATGCTTGAACAAATTCAGTTTTACAGAGTAATTTCTCACACGTGGGTCCCTGTGCTCTGGTGTAACAAGCCTYGTAGCTGTTACAGCCTAATTACTTATTACACTTTGAAGACCCTATAAGAAAAGCTTCATATATAGGAGTTTAATTTGTGTGGCAATAATGCAGATATTAATGGTGTGGCTGGAAATGGTAATTGACTGAATGGTCAAAAGGCATACGGAGTTGTTGTCCCATAGAAGCAGAACAAATTAGCAGAGCACCGTGCATCCTGAATGCAAACAATGCCGTTTAGCCTTCTTTAGCATAAACCAAGAGACACTTTCCTCTTGGTTTTGCTCTTGGGTTATCCTTTTGGTTGCTCTAGTAATTTACATTTTCTGCAAGCCTCCAAGGGAGCCCCAGAACTTGCCTGCMTGCCTGAGCCTCATTCCTGCGTTGGCTGAGGCAGCAGAGGGCAGGCAAGGGCTGCTCAGCGATCCCGCGCTGCTCAGGTAGGTCCCAACTGTCCTCCAAATGCAGCAGGTCTGCACGGATTTGGAGCAGTCGCAGGACAGTCAGCAGGGAGAGCTCCAGCGGGGCCACATGGGCTTTGCTACACGAAGCATTTTGGAAAGACGTTGTTTGGGAAGAAAATGAATGACTGCTGTCACCACACAGGAATGCTTTTGAAAGGAGGCTATTTAATTTTTTTTTTTCCTTTTAAAATAGTAGAAAATTATTTCTGTCCTTGAAGATTGCATTACAGGGCTTTTCTTTCAGTCTACTTCCATGGCAATTTTCCTGCAGGCTTATTACAGCTTTTTTTTTTTTTTTTTTTGGTTGTCAAATACCCGCACATTTTTAGGTAACTATGTACGTGAGGAAAATGTCCACACTGTCAGAAGCGAGAAGCCTTCCCCTTCTTCTTTTGGGGTTACAAAATTCAGTCAAGTGACTGCTGAAGGAGAAAGGCCTTGAATGCACCAGGGCCCTTCCTAGACCCTTGCCTGTTCAGCTAGGTTTTTGGCTGCTGAAGTACAGCTAGTAGATGATCTACTCTAGACCAAGGCAACTTGAACAGTAGCTCCAAGGTTTCCATCAGAAAAGCTTGTACTGCTCTTGCAGGTCTGAGTATGAATTCACCATATCAGACATGTATCAGAACTCTATAGTACAGCGTTGTTTTTTCCTTCAGATATAGATGTAACCCCTTGTACCAGGCTTTGACATTTTTCCATACAAGGTCAGTTTCAGACAGCAAAGCTAACAGGCAGCTCAGGAGTCTTCTCCTGCTGGGTTTTCTGCTCTTTCCCCATCCTCCTGCTTACTGTGACTGGTAGTGGCACAGAGCATATTGTGAGGGAGAGGTCTCTATCCCAGCTCAGGAGCTGTTATGCGGCCTGGGAGCTCCAGCAAGCAGCTTGTTAATGAACAACTTTGCAGGCTCCTGGGAGAGCTCAGATTGGAATGGGTGTCAGGACTCTAGTCCAACTCCTGCTCAAAGCAGAAGCATCTCTGAGGTCAGACCAAGTTGCTCAGAATTCTATCTAGTGTGGTCTTGAAATGTCAAAGCGTTGCATCAAAACATTGCATTTGACAATAAAGAAATCCTTATTGTAATCAAGACAGGAAAGAACTATTGCCTCATCTTTATTTGGTAGGCTCGTAGCTGAGTCATAGAAGGTTATTAGTTTGACACAATGTGATTTTTTTTTGACAGTGCAGGTTGGCTGTTACCTGTCTGTTATTTTCTAGGTGCTAATTTATTTGCTGCAGTATATTTCCAGAAAATATTTTCTCTTCTGTAAACGGAGGGATGRCTTTGCACTTTTCTCAGCTTTCTCATGCTTGCTTCATACCTTATCAAAGACAACACTTAAGCAATCACAGATTAATTTCRTGAATGCTTCATGTATTGTATCTACATGCTAACATCGTCTTTTTTTTCTCCAGCCTGAGATGTAATCCCTTTGTTGTTATTATYGTTTAGTTAGTGCCTCTAGCCTTTTTCTAATGAAGAGGGAAGAAAAACAAATACCATAACACTTTATATTTTTGGTATCCTCATTCATTAACTTTTCTTTTATAATGAGTGGTTGGCAAATGTTTTAAATGTTTTCCCCTCTCTTCTTTTTTTTTTTTTATTCTATTAATATGATTTTTTTTTCCAGCCTGAATAGCCTTTGATAGATGCATCTCGTATATTATTTTGGACTTTCTGACTGTGTCTTTATATGATTGTGCTGTTGTTTTGTGTTTGACCCAGTTTCTGGTTTTCGTATATTTCCTTTTGGTGTGTGAAGTCAATAAAAGCTTACCCTTTGTGGGTAAAGATATGCTGTCTGAGTATGGAGGATAACTTAAAAACAAGACCTTAAATCACTTCTTGGGACAGGAATGTTCAGATTATAAAGTGACCTGCCAAAAACCTAGACTAAAAAGAACTACATTAATCTGTGGCCTTTCTCATTCCATTTCCCAGGTATTGGGAGCTTTTCTTCCTCTCAGTTGTTAGTCTTCTAGGCATGCCACGTGTGAGTGTTATGCTCTGAATCAGTAGTGCTAATTTCAGTTGAGTTATAAAAATTCAGGGTAAAGTTGTGGAAAAGTTTCACTTTACTGTGTTCAGTTACTGTGATTCTCATTGCTGTCCCTGCTCTTTRTGGCTGCCAGATTGATGATTTAAACCCCAATGAAAGGTTTGGTCTCATCTTTCCTCTACATCCATACCAGAATCAGGCAAGAACTGATATGTATGCATTCTAATCTTCATGTAGTTTATCTTCCACGTTTATCTCTGATTGCACTGGCTTTCAAAACAAGRTTGCCATGTGAAGATCTTGCTTTTTGCGATTGTAACGAGGCATCTCAAATGAAGATGACAGTAACACAAATAATAAGAACTGCTGCGTGCTGTCTCAGCAAAATGACAGCCACCTCCCTCCATGGATGGATATGGAGTCGCTTTCATGGCTTCATTGTACTTTTATCGGATAAAATTTAGCTATAGGGCCAGGTTTGAATCCTGAGTAACGTGATCAAAACTTCTCTAATGAATTAACAGCACAAGTTCCATTTAAATTAAAATAAATGCAGCCCTTAGAAACTGGAAGTGGTACCCATATGGGGTTGTGACATAATTAAAGGTGTGAAGTCGTTAAATGTGAAACATATTAAACTGGCAAGTGGATCTTATCATTTGGAGTGGTAGAACCAGAGATATCAGTAGGRTTAGCATTGCTAATTGTTGTTTAAACTGTAAATAACAGTTATAATTTAGATAAAATAAGAATATCACTGTCCTGTGTTCATTCTGAGTTTGATGGCTTACTGCCTTCTTCTCACTGACTTTGAAAATGGAGTAGGAAAGCCAATTTGTCTAGACAGTAAAACTTAAAGAAAGTWCAGCCATGTTGCTTACTTAAATGCCTTTTTTTCCTTCTTTCAGCTCTCTGCCCTAATGTTATAAATCAGCGGCACTTGAGAACTCTGAATTATCTCTTCTACAAGAGGTTTGTTGAGGTGAGTTACAGTGGATAAGATGGGTGTGAACTAGGGTTTATATTTTGTGAAGTCATTCATGACCCAGTTTCAGAAGATAAAGTTTGTTCAGGTACTTCTAGGTACAGATCTATGTTGCCTGTATGGTTTAATTACAGATGGACATTTTGTCTTATGTCTTGTCATCCAAAATTTGTCTGATTTAATTCATATAAGCTGTGTTTTTCTGCCATGCTCTACTTGGTGATATATGAAAAGCCAAAATTTTCAGTGCATTCCAGGGCACATTCCTCAATCGCAATTGATGCCAAGGTGTAAGATGCTGTGTTAGATTTCGTCTTGTTATATTTCACTTTTCTAAGATGTTTCAGGAGTAATTTTGTCTTTTCAGAAAAGCATGACTCAGGAGAATTGGACAGATCATGTTCAGGTGAGTATAAACTTCCCTTTCTTATTTTCTCAGGATTTATTTGCTCAGACCTTATTCTAAGATCATCAAAATATCTGACTCTGGTATTGTATTAGTGTAGCTTTTTGCTTTGTCATATCTTAATAAATATATAGGAAAGTTGTATTCTATCCTGTGTGCTCTCTCTATCATGCACTTTTGAATTGCTGTTACGTGTTTCATACTCTGGTTTAGCTTGTGGCATTTAGGTAAGGTTATCAAATACATTATTTTGCTTCCATGTGCTTAAAAGCAAACTACAAATATTGAGGTTACTTAATTACAAGGTGAGGAGAAAGGGAATAATTTAAGGCAAGTACCAAGGTGTGACTAAATCTGCACAAATGCTGGGTTCCCTATACATGTTCTACTTTCAACAGGCTTATTATATAACTGTTAGATATGAAGGCTRCTGTTTCGTGCTGTAATGCACAGGTAGCTTTAGTAAGACAGAAAGAAGGGTAGCAAGATTCTTCTTCCTCATAAAGTATAATCAGGGAATTTTGGACAACCATGTTCTGGCCTGATACTGCAATAAACAGGTTTGTGACAATAAAATAGTAGGAAACTCCATGATGACAAGTCATTACTTGTGATTTACATACCTATGACATCCCTATGGAATTGCAACTTCATAAGGAACMTTTTTTTCTAGCTCCTCTCAGTTTGAATTTTGCAGCCTTTAAAAATTCCTGGGTCAGTTAGACTCCTGCTATGAAATTCTGTTTAAATTATCAGTGTTGGCCTTTGAGTGATAACAGGACAATGCTAGCAGTGGYGATCTTGTGTGCATGAGATCTCCTGCCCCAATTGTACACATCAGCAAAATGGTTACATTTTAGACATGAGATCTCTCTCTGCTGGATGAGTAGGAAAAAAGATGATACAAAAGGCATGAGAATGTGAGGGCCAGAACTTCAAGAATAGAGGCATTTGAGAAGAGGCCCAGCATCGTTTCACGGTCACTGATAAACCTATGTAAGTATCTTCCACGTGTCGTTTATCATACACGTGCTAGAGGCCTGATTTTGTAAGGAAAGGGAGGGATCCTGTCTCTTCATATCAGTGGTTTTGCCTTTTGAGCATGCTAATGAGTTCCCTTTGATTTTAGTGAGACACCTGCAGACTTCAGTGACCCCACTAGCACAGGTACTGTGCTGAAAGAAGACCTGAGATGGGATTAGCCAGGATTTGACCTAGACATCTTTTTCACAACTTTTGAATGTACTTTAATGTATGCAATGAAAGGGTCTGTACTAGTGCTGTGGTAGGTAGTGGGAATAACGTGCCAACTGCACCAAGTGATTGCTGAATGTGTCAATTGTTTGTAGTGACAGCGGACTTGGATAAGATAGCTGATAGCTATCTTATATATGTCCAAGAGCAGATAGCTGCTCTTGGACAAATTCGTATGCTCTTTGTCTGAGTAAGAAAACTACCTCGGCCCCATGAAGCTCAAGCGGCTGCTGCACTATAGTGGGAGGCCCTCTTTGCTCTCTCAAATGATTGCAAACATTGCGTTTTGAGTGCTGCCAGTTTGCCTACTTTTGACAACTGAATAATTATTGCTAAGGTAGTGCTTCAACTTGCCTGTTATCAGTTCTGACTCTCGGCACTATCAGAGATTACTGTCTTTGGCATTACATTAAAGCAATCGGGATCTGTATCTGTGCATCTGGAGGAAACCGAAATTGCAAGTGTTGATAAGCTGCCTCTTCACATTGCAGGCAGCTTGGCTGCACTCAATGAAAAGGTTCTGAACGTTCTTTTTCTGACAAAAAGATAAAAAAGACTATGCCTTATGGAACTGGAGAGAGTTGAGATTTACGTGCCATGTGGCCCATTCATATATTTGAGTATTCAGAGGCAGTTTCCGTCTCCCACATGGTACCTGGCACTACAATATTAAAGATGCAGTGTGTTGAGTAGGATGATGTGCAGCATGTACTCTGGGTCACTTGCAGGTGTCAGAACCAAAAGCYCCAAAAGACTCCATGATGACAAACTCTGAATCAGAATTTCGGGGGAAACATTCTCAATTTTAAGTCAAAAGAGATTAAAAGTTGCTGTATGCATAAAGCCTTTTTTTTTTTTTTCCCAGCTCTGTACTGCAGCTCTAGTTAAGGGTCCTGGATTAAATTATGTAGATACCATGAGCTGTGGTCAAAGTGAAGTCACTACTGGTTCAACAGTGATGGCCACTGTCATGTTGGCATTGCAGGCAATAGATTTTTCCGGGCTGAAGATGTGTCCTTTTGTTCACTCAAAGCAGCTCAAATCCAGAATTTTGCTCTTCCTGGCCCGTGGAATGAGTCAAAGGTGTGGTCTTGTCCGTTTCTACAAAAGGCAAAAAGTATACAGTTAATTGCATGGCCAACAGAATCTGTTTGCGGTCCCGTGGCAAACTCATGTTGCCCCCAGTTTGCTACCAGCTCTGATGTGCTGTCCAGGCTGGCGCTGAGCTGGCAGCTGCAGGCAGGCAGCAAAGGCTGGAGGCAAAGCAAAGGCATTGAAGTGTCTCCATACCCYAGGGCAGCTGCCCTCAGCACAGCTATGCATTGGCAAGCCCAGAAGGAATGCTGCAGTTCATATCTTCTTCTCCATGCTCAGATACCTTGCAGGCAGYGGGAGGGGAGAAGCACTTCTCTTTGGCGGTGCCAGTTGCTTTGCTATTCATTACCTGCCCTCACTGATTCTGCGAGCTGCACGGAGACACACAGGAGAGGGTGCCTGTCTTCACAAGCACAGGGGAAGGTCTAGGATATTCATGTTAGATATGCAGGAAAAAAAAGAGAGACAGGAGATGAGCCAGTTGTCTGCTTTGCTGTGTAGCTTTCTGCTTCCATTTTTGCATGTTTTGTATTTTAACAATTTTAATCAGTTGCATAAAGGTGATAGGACTGGGTATGCCAGCCACAAGATAGTATATGACATTATACCTAATCTGTTCGCAAGGGGTCTTCCTGCTGGTAACCACAGGGCATCCTTGGTCAGCAGCAAAAGGGACTCTRTGAGAGAAGTATGAGGATTGTTTTCTGAACAACTAGTGCCCAAAGGACATGAGCTTGGCAGAAAAATGGTTCTAACATCCGAGGTGTTTCAGCAAGAAGTAGCTTGACTGTAGCAGAGCTAACTAGTTGATACAGTTTAAAATGATTTTCAGAGTACTTTGGTCCAGGAACCATGACTGTGTGTTTGGAGTTCCTGCTGTGAAATTCCTTTAGCCCTGGAGCAGAGCAGGGTAACTGCACAGCAAAACAGCTTTTTGTTTGGGGCAATAACTAGAATAATGCTAAGCAGAGTTAAAACCAATCACTTATTTAGGACTATCAGCACATAACTGCCTATTTTGCAGGACCACCAAGACAATGACATGGCTGATATTGTCCTACTGCATTTTCTGATCTTGAATTAAGGTTCTTTTTACTGGTAAATCAAAAAGAGGCTGTGGAATCTCCATCCTTGGAGTTAATCAAAAGCCAACTGGACACGTCCCGGGTAATGTGCTCTGGGTAACCCTGCCTGAGCAGGGTATTTGGAGTAGGTGACCTCCAGAGGTCTCTTCCAACCTTAGCCAGTTTATGCTTTTGTGAAAAAGCTTTCTGCTCTAACATGTAGAGTAGTATTTGCATAGGGAAAGCTATCCCTTAGTTTATGAAAGGTAAAATCTTTACCTTTTCCAAAATCAGTGTTCAGAAAAGAGTCAGAGTTTGAAACAATGATACTTATTCTTTGGCTACTCACCTTGAGCTGTGGTTCATCATCCATCCATGTCTTCTGCCAACTAGTGATTGGCAGCAATTTGAGCCTTATTTTCTCATGTGTAACTTGAGAGATGTGTACTGAGATACAGGACCTTGAAAATAGGCTGGTTAGACTTCTCTTTTGAGGTTATTCAGACTACTCTGATCATAAAAGTGAAACACGGAGCTCTTAAGCTCATTAAGCTAAGAGATGTTAGTAATTTATAAGCAAAAGAAAAACACACACACACACAAAAAAAAAAAAAAAAAAAAAAAAAACTCCAAAAAACCCACAAGGGTCATTATTAAGTTGCTTTACAAATATTTGGGAACGAACAAGAGCCGGGTAGTGTGTACTGATTTCCAGGTAAGTCCTCAGATAATATTCAGAGATATGCTCAAGTACTGTTTGTGTACTGTATCTGTTTTGTGAGGGTAGGAGAGAAGGAATTCCTTTGTATCAGCCGAGATCAAGCAGTCTTTCTTCTGCAAACTTCCACTTGCAGCTCTCATTGCTTCTGTCATTTGTATCCTGCATTTTGTCCCCTGCTCAGGAACTGACCAGAAGTTCAGTGATGGATGTGAGCATTTCCAGTGCCTCAGCTATGGAGATCCATCTGCTTTTGCCCCATGCCTTTTCCTTTGCATTTACCRTTGTCAGAGGTCTCTGGAGAGTGTATATAGCCACAGTGTGATGTAAACGTATGTTGTAGCTAAGGGAATAAGCTTAGAGAAATCAGGCAATGAAAAAAACAGAGGTGAAGTACAGATTTCCTTCCATTTATCAGGTCAGTTTGTAAATGGTGTCATATATTTATTGATAGCTGAAATCACATAAGAAATGGTGCAAAATAAAAGGACGTACTAATAGGGCTAATGCAGAAAACAGGCACATCTGGGAGCATCTCGAGGAAAGCATAACGCAATTCCTCAGCTACGTTCTGCTTTCTGGATAGAAAGCAACAAAATATGCCTCGGTGCTAATGAAGTTAGCATCGTTGGTCTAAGAGAAATTGGACCGTCTCATTTAATAAATCCACAGCTGTTGTGGAAGAAATACATGGGAAAAACCAAATACACTGCTTCATACCTTCACATCTGAAAAAGTCTTAACAAAGATGATATATTCAGTTAAATGTGAATACCTCAGAGTACCTATTGCATGKCTTAGAGAGGATTGTTTTCTGTAGGGCCTGAGAAGTTGCCATGCCTAATAATGATGGGAGTTTTATTTATAAC